TGTTTGAAGGGAACGCTAAAAACAATGATGGATAAACCAGAGATCTTAAAGAAGTATAATGATACTATACAAGAGCAATTGAACATGGGAATATTAGAACAATGTCCAAACTCAGCTCATCCGTTTTTCACATATTATATACCCCATCATTATGTTTTAAAGCTTACAAGCTCAATGACAAAATTAAGGATAGTATTGAACGCATCGAGTAAGAGTAAAACAACAAAATCTTTAAATGACACCCTGTGTTTTCGGAGGTCCTCTTGAAAAACACCTGTGGCATTTTGTAGATGATCCTGAGCGATGCGGCGGGTAATATTGTTTTTGAAATTTTCTTCGGCATCAAACTTAGAAGCGATGTAATTTGCTTTCGCGTTCAAGTTCTGCTCATCTAATTCTTGGATGGATCTTCGTTCTACAACAAGAGTTTGCTGGAACTTTGGTAAGGAGGTGATTGGTGGCATGTGGATTTTGGTGGTCGAAGAGGCGGTAGTACTTTTCGTGGCAGGCGGTATTGTAGTTGTCCTCGGCTTGCTACTGGTAGTACTTGTTATGGTGGGACGGGTAGTGGTCCAAGTCGCAGTTGGCGTCGGGGCAGTCGTAGAAATAGGCTGCTTAGGAGTGCCAGTAGTCTTGGTAACACTAGTCGTCTGCTCTTCGATTGGTCGGATCAGCATGTTATGAGGAATTTTTAGTGAATGACTCATTTCTGAAGTGGGGTTATTCACGTAGGGTGTGAAAACTTGGACTAGGAGTTTTCGAGAGTATTGGTCTGGTTGTGTGAATGATGCATTAGCAGGATAGGGCATTCCGAAGTTGTCGTCACTATGCTGAGTGAGACGTTCGAAATTTTTGATGTCCGGGAGTCCAGTCAGATTGGCGAAGATAGCATCGTCTCGTTCGGCGAGTTGAGGATTGAATTTCTGTTTCTTGAGCGAAATGAGTTCTGTTACCAACTCCATGACGTTGTTGAGAAGTTTGCTAATGGCCGTGTTGACTGACTTGGTGGCTGGTTTGGCGGACATGAAGGCGTGTAATACTTGGTCCACTGATGGAACTG